TAATATGAAATTTTCAGTTTCCGTTCATTATCTCCCCAAAGGTACAACACATTCAACTCAAATTTGACATATGGATATGTCTTGAGAAAATACAGGTCAAGTTCGAATGTGGTTATGGTTCGATGATTTTTGGCAGAGTTATGCCCCTTTCACTTTGAAAATAATATGAAATTTTCAGTTTCCATTCATTATCTCCCCAACGGTACAACACATTCAACTCAAACTTGACATATGGATACATCAAAGGAATGCGCAGGTCAAGTTCAAATTTGGTTGTGGTTCAATGATTTTTGGCAGAGTTATGCCCCTTTCACTTTGAAAATAATATGAAATTTTCAGTTTCTATTTATTATCTCCCCAACAGTACAACACATTCAACTCAAATTAAACATATGGATACGTTTTTGGAATGCCCAGGCCAAGTTCGAATATGGTCATGGTTCAATGATTTTTTGGCAGAGTAATGCCCCCTTTACTTTGAAAATAATATGAAATTTACAGTTTCTGTTCATTATCTACCCAACAGTGTTACATATTCAACTCAAATTTGACATATGGATATGTCAAAGGAATGGGTAGGTCAAGTTGGAATTTGGTCATGGTTCGATGATTTTTTGGCAGAGTTATGTCCCTTTCACTTTGAAAATAATATAGATACATCTTAGGAATAAGCAGTTTAAGTTTGAATTTGGTCGTGGTTCAATGATTTTGGACAAACTTATCTTTCTTGAATGTTGGAAAAATTTTGAACTTTCAGTTTCAGCACTCATACTTTTGTGGAAAGTTTGAATTTGGTCGTGGTTCAAAGATTTTGGACAAACTTATCTTTCTTAAATGTTGGAAAAAATTTGGAACTTTCAGTTTCAGCACTCATACTTTTGTGGAAATGTATGTAGCCATTATTTTGGCTACAAATATGAAATATGCTATTTTCAAAAGGTTAAGACTGAATAATTTCAGTGCTTTGAACATTGTATGAAAATGGTTTGTGTTAACATTGAAAAGTTTTAAGGGCTTTGAACTGCAAATGAAAAAAATAATTTGTGCAAACAAATTTGGAACTAAATATTATAACATCTGAAATTTTGGCTGCATGCGGGGGCATCCGTGGCATGATGACACATTTCTAGTTTAAGTTTTTGCTTTACACATATAAGGAAAATCAATGACCCCAGGGGCGGTGCCAATTTTGACCCCAGGGCTTTATTTTGAACAAACTTGGTAGACACCTATTAGAACATGTTTGATGCTAAATATCTTAGCCATAGCTCTTTGAGTTCTTTAAAAGAAGATTTTTTAAGTTTTTTCTATATGCATATAGGGAAAATCAATGACCCCCGGGGCGGGGCCAATTTTGACCCCAGGGCTTTTATTTGAACAAACTTGGTAGACACCCATTAGAACATGTTTCATGCTAAATATCTTAGCTCTAACTTTTTTGGTTCTTTAAAAGAAGATTTTTTAAGTTTTTACTATATGCATATAAGGAAAATCAATGACCCCCAGGGGCGGGGCCAATTTTGACCCCAGGGCTTTTATTTGAACAAACTTGGTAGACACCTATTAGAACATGTTTGATGCTCAATATCTTAGCCATAGCTCTTTGGGTTCTTTAAAAGAAGATTTTTTAAGTTTTTACTATATGCATATAGTGAAAATCAATGACCCCCCGGGGGCGGGGCCAATTTTGACCCCAGGGCTTTTATTTGAACAAACTTGGTAGACACTCACTAGACGATTTTTCATGCCAAATATCTAAGCTCTAGCTCTTATGGTTTTTTAAAAGAAGATATTTAAAGTTTTTTCTTTCGGTTGCCATGGCAACCAGAGTTCTGCATGGAATTAAATTCTTTGAACAATTTTTAAAGGTGACCACCAAAGGTACATTCCTGTGAAGTTTGGATGAAATTGGCTTAGTGGTTTATGAGGAGATGTCATTTAAAGTAAAAGTTGTACTTGTCAAGGCACTCTATTCCTATGTACACTAAAGTAAGCTGTGTACTTGAGGGTTGTCATTTCTTGGACCCTAAAGTAGACCTTATACTAGAGTAGTGGGTGTTGCATTCTTCTCTACCCTAAAGAAGACTTCTCTTATGTAGGACAGGTCAAATTCTCTTTCATTTATTGAAAAAATACTAAAAATTATCTACAATGTATTTAACACTCTAGCGAACTCTATCTACTGAAAATTCATATTCTAACATACATGCAATTATAAAGATGTTTCCATGTATAACGTTTGTATACATAGTTTGTATATATATAGGATCATACACAATTAGTTGTCATTTCATACATGTATATAATTTTTATTCATACTTATATTTAACAAGTCCAGGAAAAAGTTATTAAGATTTCAGAGCGAGACTAAAAAAGGATTGGAGCAACACACTAAATGCTGTATTCCCACACTAAATAGCGTATTCCCACACTCCATGCCGTATTCCCACACTAAATGTCGTATTCCCACACTAAATGCCGTATCCCACACTAAATTTCGTATTCCCATACTAAAAATGCCATATTCCCACACTAAATGCCGTATTCCCACACTAAATGTCGTATTCCCACACTAAATGCCGTATTCCCACACTAAATGTCGTATTCCCACACTAAATGTCGTATTCCCACACTAAATGCCATATTCCCACACTAAATGTCATATTCCCACACTAAATGTCGTATTCCCACACTAAATGCCGTATTCCCACACTAAATGCCGTATTCCCACACTAAATGTCGTATTCCCACACTAAATGCCGTATTCCCACACTAAATGCCGTATTCGGGTATATATGAGAAAAGATGCTTAAATAATTAAATGCTAAAATCTCGCCTTTTCACCCAAATGAATGAACTTCAAAATGTTTAATTGACATCTCTACACACTGATTTATGTAAAATAATGAATAAAAAATTTAAAAATCAGCGAAGAAAAAAAAAAAAATGTCCATTTGATGATCATGATTTCTGCAAGTGTCTAGAGGTACTGCTCTAATCCTGAGTTAAAATCCAACATTTTCCTGGACATGCTAAAATAAGTCTCTATGACATGACAATTAAAATGTTCTTTTACCCAGACATGATAGTATTATATAAACCTAGAACAAGACACCCACAAGTGGTGTTAACGCTCGTCTGTTGAGGGCAATAATATTGATAACCCATTTTGACCAAAATTCTATTGGTATATAAATATAATAACGTAAACCCACTCTGGTGTTCCTGACGTGTTGTTCTTCATCCCTTCCTTATCACAAAATTATATTATTTAAAAAGAGACATAACTCCAAAAATACAGCTTTCAGAATTGTGCCCCTTTTCTAACAATTTTGCTCCTTGTCATTATCAGCAAGTATTCCAAGTGTCCATGTTTATCACTATTAAAATTTTTGAATATTTTGGGCTACATTAAACTTTTTGAACGACGACGGCAAAGACGATGCAGTGATCATAATACCTTGACTTTTTCTTCGATACTGATGAGCTTAAAAAATGGCAAAAATCCTCATCTGACAAGACATTTTGATATGTTACATGTTTAATATAAAGAACCACGTAATCATTAATGGTTATATTGTAATGTAAACTAGCAATGTCATATAATGTTAAATAAAAGAATCTAACATCTAAAATATAGAGAGAATACATACCAGTACAGCTCCCTGGTTAGATAACAGATGTGGTTAGAAGAAGAAACATCCAATTAATTTATTATATACCTACAGTATCATATTTGAAAGCAATTGTTATCAATAGGAAAAAACATTTATTTGATTTGCAGCGTAATGGATGGACGGACGATAAAAAAAACTAGAACTGCCACAGGAGTGATCATTCCCACCAATATAATAACTAATGTAAGTAACTTGAGCTGCCTTAGAACTGATCAATACCATCACCATCTCTATAACAAAGGATTGAGTCTTTCAAGGAGTTTAAAATTTAAAGGCACCCAACAGAGGTTTTTTGACATGAAGGGACTGGAAATATTTTTTCTACCATTTAATGTAGGTCTGGACCAGTAAGTTGTGTTCAAATTTTCAGATCAGACCTTTAATGCTTTATCTCGTTTTTCCAAAATAATACTTTTATTTTACAAAATGACCAAGAAAAAAAGTGTGGACACAAAAATGTGGGACATTTGATCTTTAAATTGAGGACCACGCTCCTTAGATCCATGCTATTTTTTATGAAAATTTTGAAAATGTATTAAAAAGTAAAATACTTTAAAGTGAACAAAGAAAATAATTTTAACATTGATACATGAAAGTAAGTTACTAAAGCAGTAGAATTATGGTGAAAAATTATGTCATAATTGCAAATAATATGGAAATAATATGGAAATTTTTACTTTTATCTTGAATCAGTTTACTTTTCTTAAAATCTCAGTACTTTTTTAATCAAGTTTGATTTTCTTGAAATATTTTGGTTCACTTTGAGGCGCGCAGCTTTTAAGGGTGACCTTGAGGGAGCACAACAGTGGCATTGGTTCTGCACATTGCCCAGTTGATGTGAAAGTTATAAATTAATGATAATCAAAATGATAATTAGGCAAAAGGCTGCATGATTGATTGGTACATTTCAGGAAAAAACATCTTTCTCATTTACAGGCCTGATAGAGAATCAAATCCATATGGTACTCGGAATATAATAAATCTTTGAAATGTTCGTAACAAGTTAAAAATATATTCAGATTATTAACCCTTAAAGTGCTCAGGAACTGAAAGTGTTAAGCCTTTGCCACCATAAAAGAGCCAGGCCAGCCTACACATCCGTGCAGTCTGACAAGGCTGAGTATACTGTTCAACAGTTGGCTGACAAACTTTTAATATTCAAATTGATATCCCTAAAATTGATAATGGACAGTCCCAAAAATGGAAGCGGGAAAAGTCCATTTAAATATTCAGCATGTTAAGGGTTAACCCTAAATAAGTAAATGGTGACTGTTGCTGTGCAAATTATATGTTAATGACACAAATCACAAATTTATAACTTACCCCTCTCAAAGGCATCTCTAATTTCACAGTCTCTGCTTCTTTGCAAAGTCTTTTAAATGGACAATGAAGTTTCTTATACACATAGCCGTCAATAATCTCTTCTTTTATAGAGAAACCCTCAGCTCTAATGGCCTTCTCAAATCGGTCCCGCAAATCTTCTTTCCTTTTCTTCGACTGTTTCTTCTCCTCGTCATCGTACTCGTCCGAAGTTTTCACTTTATGTACAAGTACATAGTCAATGCGTTTCTGCTCCGGATGTAATGCTGTCCCGAGGGAAGAGTATCTCCGTTCAAATTTTGTAAGTTTTCTCTTTCGCGTTTTATTTCTTCGATGTTTTAAATGCCCTATAGCACCGACAGCTTTAAATTGGCCATTTAAGACTGTCGCGCCATCTTTCGCCTGTGTTGACCCCTCCATCTGTGTCTTTTTCAGTTGATTAAGACTGACATCAGAACTTCATTCTGGAATGAAAATTAATTTTTCCTACATTTGTGAATAAAGAATTACCAACATGCACTTTTTAGATTAAATGTAAGTACAGGCAATTTGAATAAAGTATCTTTTTTTCTATTGTATTTATCCTTGGATAATGCTACAAACAATAATTAGTTTTCAAATTTTATAAATCATTATGCTAACAATGATAAACATGTATTAAGTTTCTTATCTGAATAAAAAAAACAACAATTTAGCAGTATTTGTTGCTGATTTTGAAGTAAAAGCCAAACCTAATTGAAGCTAATTGCATAAACTCAAAAAGGTTATAATTAAAACACACAATCAACTTTTTATGTCTCTTAAAATCAACCTCAAACATCTCACCAAAAATAATGTGAATAATAATCCCAATAGTGTTTTATTTTGCAATGTGCAAATAATTTCTATTGCATTCATTTAACAGTATCATGTTTTTGCCAGCCTGTTTAGTTCACATTAAATTCATGGTCCAAAGGCAGCAGTTTTGTCATATTGCCTGCAATCAATAAAAGTGTGCTTAGTTTATGTCCGGATTTTAATGGGTCAAAGTTTCCGGCAACATTGCTTCATTGTATATACTTGACTTTGAATAATGGGAATTCCAGCACATGTCCATAATAAAATGTCAATAAAAGATTTAAACATACAAATATACATATCCGTTGATCTGACATCACTTTAACCATACATCATTAAGCAAATGATTTGATGTTTATCATGCTTTTGTGTTAATGACACTTAGCACAACTGATTCTACCCATATACCCATATACCCACGGGACCATATAGCGGACCTAGATCTGATGGCTGATCATTGTGTGCAGTGTTCCTTATTCAATCAGTATTTATTTTGAAATTTTCTTTAATTTTGTCCCGATTGAAAGATGGACAAGTCCTGGGCCGGGCAGTGATTGAAGACATAATTTTACATTTTATAAATTTCATAAAAATAATTTGTTAAATATAGCTTTACACTCTTTAACCTTAGAGCAAGACAATTTGTCAAATATGATCCAAAATGACACTGCCATAATTTACGTTTAATTTCAGACCTGTCCATTACCATTTTGAGATATCAAAATACTAAAACTGCATGAGCAGTAATCAGTATTATAGGAGTCTACCTCAGGTGACTGATGAAACTTGGTATAGATAAGCAAGCGCAAGCTGATAGGGGGCTCAGTACTCTATTTGAGAATATGATGCACAAATTGGTGTATTTAATATTTGAGCCGCGTCATGACAAAATCAACATAGTGCGTTTGCGACCAGCATGGATCCAGACCAGCCTGCGCATCTGCGCAGTCTGATCAGGATCCATGCTGTTTGCTTACACTCTGACCCTATTACAAGTAGAGAAACTGATAGCGAACAGCATGGAACCTGATCAGACTGCAGAAAAAAGTTAACCACATCAATTTTGCAATTTTGAAGCGTGAATATTTTTACTTTTCTGAAAATCTAAGTAGATTTTTCTCAAGGTTGATTTTCTTCAAACATTTTGGCTCATCTGGTGGCATGGCAACTTTAAGCTTTTATATAATCAATATTTAGGTCATTTTCTATAGTCCATGGATCTCATCAATAAGTTAATAATATTTGTATATGACATTAGAGTGTTAGTGTTCTAATCTATAAAATACCTGTGCTGTAACCGGAGAAAAAAAAAACCCAATAAAATTGATCAATAACACTGAATTCAGAAAGCTTAACAGTTTGCACTGTAACGGTTGTATAATTACTTTTCATTTCAGACACATTAAGTTCAATAAATAAAATGCCTCCAATACTGTATCCTTTATCAATGTTTGTATTAAAGCGTTTAATATTCTGTTTATCAATTAATTGTATTACAGACATATTATACTAAGAGGATATTCTTTGGTTTCAGTGAAATATGAAATATATTTCCACAAAACATGATACAATTCCATATATTTTCATGTTAAGTGAAAATATATTACTTATTTCACAGAAAACAAAAAAACCTACCTTTTTATCTCATTCATATAATAATTATAAGGATATACATGTTTATCACCGTATATGTCAGTAATACCATGAAGTTGTAAACAAAATATAAAGAGGATATTTGTTTGTTTTGCATGTGAGATTGAAATATATTTCACTGAGTGAACACTAGATGCAATATTTTAAAATAGAATAGCTGGTTTTCACGAATGAAAGATATTTCAATCTTATATGTAAAACAAATAAATTTTCTTTTTATTTCATGCTTTTTAAAGTACCGTAATTTTAAGTATTTTTCACTGATTTTGCTGTGTAATGTTGTGCATTCTCCTTTGTGACGTCATCACATCATGACGTCATATCATTAATTTTGAAATATAGTTCTGTTAAAATTTCTCTAATTTGTTACATTTTTAACAGTCATGATGACATCGACTTTCTTTTCCTAAAGAAGCAAAATTTTATGCATTTATTTCTGCCTGTTATTCCAGTCAGCATTCAGATATAATTATGTAGTCAGGCTACAGTGAAAATTATATTTTATAAATTTCACCAGTGGTTTATCAGAATATAAACATGTGACACATTACAGTAAAACACTGGAAAGCATGAAATAATACACAAAAATTGATTTTACCCATGAAATATGGTACTATATTAGTCAAATGTATACCATATTAGTTTAAAAAAAAAAAAATGAGAAATAAATATGAAAATGGGTGAAGTCAAACTCATTTTTATATATTTATTATCATGTGCTAACCATTAATACTTTGGTAAAAAGGAAAAAGGGAGATAACTAAGTAAAAGAAATGTGATATTGCATTGATATTTCAAGTTCAAGTAAACATCTCTACTGGTTTATGAGATGGGAAGGGACAGCTAGTTACTGCACACAAAAAAATCTATAACTTGACCTTGAATGCCAACCATTTATGATCAAATCAATGTAAAGTCTCATTAACTTGATGGTCAAATCCTCTCAAGGTTTTGTTGTGTCCATTTTATGAAGACAATTCATTATAATAATAAGCATGCTATAGATATTTCCTAAGTTATAAAGCCACCAATTTGTCCATTTCTTTAAAACTGTAATATTATGAAACTTGACACGTCCAAGATGCATTGTAATTTTTGCAGTGATTGTCATGTTTGTCCCAAGTATTAATAATTTTCCATACACTAATAGCCAAGTTTTACTGCCATTATCATTAAGCAAAAAAAAAAACAAAAAAACATTCAATAATTACATCTTCAAGGTCAAGTTCATTTAAAAGTCAAATGTCAAAGTTACATGTAGTTTGATTTTCATAAAGGTCTTGTCCTAAAGGATGTTGTGTAAAATCTGGTCCAAATGTCCAAACTTCTGGTTTGTTCTACATGTACTTTATAGTGGAGGCCTTATAATTTCGAATAAATCAAAATACATTGTCCTTTTGATTTTTGGACATTTCTGACAATGAATATTTTCTAAGGATAATTTAAACAAATATTTATTTTTTCCCCATATTTAATGATATTCCAAATGATATTACAAATTATGTTATTCTGCTATAGCTGTGGCTAGCTGTATGGGCCTGTAATGCCAGAAGCAAGTTCTAGCCGTATGTGAGTCACGTACGACTCACCTCTACACACTGTTGAGGCTAGCCATATGGCATTTTAAAATAAATAACTTAAAACAATTATGAATATGCAAACTTGTGCTCCTAAATGAAGATTTTATTGAATATCATGAAAACTTTATCATATACATTAATTTTCGAATCAGAAGTTTTTTTTCCTTCTGAAAATCACAGATTTTCAGAATTAAAGTCTGTGAGAAAATAAAAAGAGAAATAAACAGAAACATTATTTATCACTTCTATGGACAATTATAGATGTAATACATTTGTAATACTTTTTTGTCTTGACAACTAGGCTTTTAGCAGGCATTGAAAATTTCTTTTAATGATGTTCAAAGAACAAAATTTAATGCTTTTCATGATTGCATATTAGCATGCTATCGTGTCAATCACAGACTTTAATATTATGAATTTGACATTTAAGTACATGTATGTGGGCCAATTTCCATAATTGGGAAGAGGTCTTAGCCTCTTGATTTTAGGAAAAAATGATCGCTAAAATTGCTAATTTGGGAAGTAAAAAAGCAGGTGAAAGTTAAGATTTTTGGGAAAACTGCATGATTTCAAAGAAAATTTCAATTGGGAAGAGGCCTTTTAAGTTTTATCGGAGTCTGTTATATAAGCAGGAAAATCACTGTATACATTGTAACAAAATATTTTTGATAATTATAAGTTGTAAATAATACAAATTTACATGGGCTTACGAAAACTACTTAATCAAAACTGAATTCATTTCTGACAGATCTATCCGATATCTTAATTGTCATAATATAAATGGCCAAATATCGTACATAAAATTATTTGGAAAAACATATATTAACATTATTTGTGAAAATGTAATTTTAAAAGATGTTCAAGTTACTGACTTCATCGTTGCATTTATTTATTATTGAAAAAAATATGCCATACCGTGATATGGCTATCCCCAACAATGTGTATGAGCTAGACGTATGTGACTCACGTTAGGCTAGAACATTTGGCTAGCAGTACGGATCAGATGTCTGTCATGTTCTAGTTAGTCCTATAACATAAGACGTTTCTGTTAGTACTACATACACTCCAACGTCTTAACGACTTCTTCATAAGTGCCTTTAGCAAAACGTGCCAACATGTATACAGGTAATATGGCTGAATGTATATAGCGGTGAAAGTGGTATAAATTAAATTGTATTAGATTTATTTACATTCAAAGGTGAGTCGTTTATTTTTTTTGCTGCACATTGATGCAAAAATGTTTTAATTTACTGTCTGCATTATCTTTCGACTCAAAATATTGTTTTTGTAGTAAATTACGACGGTTTATATAGCGCTTCAAAATCGCTGCGTGTTTTGCTAAAGGAACTAATGAAGAAGTCGATAAGAAGTTGCAGTGCACGTAGTACTAGCGGAAACGTCTTATGTTATAATAATTAAAGGACTAGATGTCATATGTCAAAACATTTTGACTAGGTCATCAATACTATAAAAAATACGCAACATTCTGGTGAGATAAAAATTTTCTAGTGAGATAAAAATTCTATCTCAACTGAGATAAAAAAAAACTGTCCTACTTTGAAAATTTTACCTGAATGATGCTTTTACTTATCCGGTACAGATGTATCCGAAAGAAACGATGATTATCATCACAAGTTTCTTATAAAAAGTATGATTTAGTACTACAACATAATCACAAAATATAGTTTAAAACAATACCTGGTATCAAGTTACACTTTTATTTGGCCTATTTACACATTCGAGGTTAAAAAATAAAAGTTATTTACTGTGTTTCCAAGATGTAAGGGAGATAACTTCTAAACCGGTGCATATTTTAACATTTGCTACGGCAATTAGTCCTAACAGAATGGCGGTAGAAAATCAATTCAAACATTCGAAAGATCTTTTCAAATGTGGTGATGGTTCAACTATGGTTTTCTTTATGCGTCCTTGCAGTCACAGACAAGAATTGAGACCATTAATAGAGGTTTAATCTGATACTTAACCATTGATAATCTGCCCTTTTGAGCTCAATGATTTAGGAATGATTCGTACCGAGTTGCATTCGCCCCACTACAATTCGCATCACACTGATATGTTGCTGTACATTAGACAACAAAGTCTAGCAAAGTCAGTTTGAATAGTAATGTTATGTTAAATAATGATCAAAGTTAAACATATAACTCGATTTGCGTGACTTTACAGTGTCTGGACAACTGATAAAAGTGTTATGCAGGAACCCATATTGCAATAGTCTGAATAGACATTGAGATGCACTGATGATGATAAAAAGAAAATAAAAGCTACCTTTTATGTCCTCTGTTTTGAAGAAAAAGTTGAGTGTCTCAGCTGTTATTATTGCTGCAGTGACATTGTTGTCATAAAACAACCATATACAGTCTCTATATGGACTATGTAAATAACCGAGGTATATTAAGTGAAAAAATACGAGTTGTTTCCCATATATTCGAGTAAAATTGTTATCTCTAATGCTAAAACAATACAAATTTAGCAGTTTTTAAATAATTGGTTTGGGGCAATTTAATCAGGTCTAGGATTTCATGATATTTACGGACAGTCTGTAAATTTATGGACCATCTATAATTTTACAGATTTTTCTATCTGTAAATTTATAGACATTAAATGCAAAAATAGTATAAGTTGTATTAAAATTAAAAACCGCAGGTTAATAAAAATAAATTTACTGATTATATGATTAAATGTAACAGTATGATAAGATTTAGAACAATTTGATGACTTTCAATTTTCACTTTTAACAAAAATTTCAAAGTCATCATACAAACATGAAACTTATCTCATTACCTTTGTTAATAGGAACAATCAATATAACAACTTGTTTTAAGCTGCGGATTTTGGTATAAAACTAAAAACAGCAAATTTAACATAGAGGATCTGTAACTTTATGGACTGAAAAGTCTTTAAATTTATAGACTATCCATAAATTTACTGACAGTCCATAAATATCATGAAATCCTAGACCTGTTAATGTCCGATTTTTAAATTTATTACAGTTTTTTACACTAATGAAAATCTTGTGATAAAGTGATTAAGTAGAATAATGAATTACTTAAATTTTTTGTCAATATTGTTTTATATTAATTTGAATGATTTCATAATTTAAATATATCATCATAAATCAGAAATGATTGATTATTATGGCATTGCTGTGTTGTTTTTTTCTGAGTGTACAGCATACATGTACACATAAACTTTTTTTTCGATGATCAAGTGGGAGATTTTTCTTCAAAAAGAGATTTTAGAATTTGCAATGACAAAGAAGAAAGTTCTGACATCAAAAAAAGGGAGATTTCTTTAATTTATGAAAAAAAAACCCTTATCTGAAGAAAAGTTCTTGAAAAAAACTCATATGGCTGCAAAAAGTGGGAGAGTTCACCAAATGTATGGTACAGATGTGCTAATGAAAAAAAAAATTGTGAATCTCATTGTACTGGTAGTAACTATATCAGGAAAAAGGCTGACAACAAGTGTCACATCCTCTTTTATATGCAATCAACCTAGGAGTTCTGTAATACAATTATTTTTGTGTTTTATCTTGACATAATATACATGTATGTATTTTCCAGTCTGGCGGTGGTAAGGTTACATCTAAAGTGATGAAGGAAAGTATAAAGTAAGTATGATTTAAAAGTAACATATCTGTTTCAAAAAGAAAATCAAGCTATTATGATTGCTACATCAAACAGAATATGAATCTCGAAAAATTATATCCAGTCTAGTCATGCCAAAAAAGCTCACTGGACTCATTTAAGATGGATTTTTCTCCTTCATTTTAGATAGATTTTCCTCCTTTGGACTTTCCTTAATAATATATGCTATGCTTTGGGGCATTTATTTTAAAGCATAATGTGTAACATAAATGAATGTTTTAATTTATATGTTTATTCTATTTTTTTTGCAGACTTGCAGAGAAAGGAAGTACGGTTTCTGCAGATGACTATATATCAGCTAAATACATAGAAGACTGCGTGAATCAGAATAAACTATTACCTATGGATTCATACAGGTAAATCTTCAAAAATGAGAGCAATAGTTTAATCTAAAGGATAACGTTATATTTGATCAGAAATCACATCATGAAGGTTTTTAGATATAATAATTTTATCAGTTTTATTCAAATCCTTTCATTGAAGGTTACATATTTTTCACCATTTGTAAAATTCATAAAGACCTATCAATAAAAACAGCTAGTGATTATAGTGCATGTAGTGGCATCACAGCAGGTTTATTTTGTTTAAAAATAATGCATTATAATGTACAGTTGTGAACCTTTAATTATAATCTTCAACATTAATATTCCTAGATGAAAAATGTCAATATGATGCTAATTTTTAACCTGCTTTTCCAACAGAAAGATTGTTAGATTAGAGAATATCAGAGAATCAGCAGGTAACTTGGCTCAAACTGTTTCTTTTAACCATGTGCAACCAAACTATTACAGAATGGTAGTCATCAAGTGTCTTTGCAAATGATCTTAGGATTTTGTAATTTGATCAGGTTTATCTAGGTTTGAATAAGGCATTTTAGGGTTGATTTTGGGCCAAAACTTGGCCACTTCTCTCTCAGTTTTAGTGTATGTTTTCTCCTTTTTTCAACATAATTTTCTCATCATCGTTCCTTGCCGCCATTTTTTTAAACAGAGAAAAAACATTGGACACTAGAAATCTCAGTCATACATTCACATATCTGTCGTTTTTCTATATTTGTCTAGAGTGAAGTCAGGATCCAGAGTGCGTAATGAATCAGGTGATACTAATGTGTCAAAAGAAAGTTTTGGTTCCAATGATAGTTTATCACCCGCATCCTATATTGTACAGACAAAAGCCAGAGATTATAAAGGGTATGTGTTATCTTTAAAATGTATTATCAGGTTATTTTACACTGTTCTATACAATATTTAGGAAATAATTAACAATTTTTCTTGCATTGTTGCAGAGTTCAAATGCCCAGCAATATAATCATGAAGACTGATAGGCCTGAGTGATTAATTACAAAGCATTTTAACAATAAACCATGCATTATTATACTATTATGTACAAAAAGTTAATATCAATTTCCATTCTAACATGCTAATAAAAAAAGAGAATTCATTACAATATGTTGAACGACATTGAGCATAGAAGTAATTTTCCTGCCATTTGGCTTATTGAATGCTCATGAATGAAGGGAAACTGACATCGTTTTTTCCATGTTCCACACATTTCCTATTGCTGGAGTTGTTGCATGTATGCCTTGAGTGTAAAATTGATACTTCTTACATAGCCCTATTCATAAGGAAAGTAAAATATAATTCCTTAGGTTTTGTTGAAGAGGTTTTTTTTTAAAATTTTACAGAAGGTATTACAATAAAAGAAAAATTACATGTGTATCCTATTCTAGTATATTTGTATTACTCCTGTTGGATTGTGTAAAAGTTGTATTTTACACTTCCCTCATATCCAGGGCTTCCATTAGTGGAAGTTTGGGAGTCATTTACATGAGTTTTGGCTTGTGACTTCCGAAATATAACCCTTTTCTTTCTTTACCTATATAATGATTATGTGTCTTCCAGTGTTAGGTATTTTGCAGGCTCTGACTTCCTAATTTTGGAACTTCATGGAAGCACTGCATAGTCATGTCCTTGTATGGTGTTTGATAAGACTACCTGTAACAGTGTTACAGCTTCACACTTAAACATCATGTTTACAACATATTGATAAAACACACATAATACTATATTCCTTATTTAATATCGGAAATATGATTGGAAGAAAAAGTAGATTACATTTTGTATTTTTAAGCAAAGATAGAAAAGTATTTATGATAAACCGTAATTATGTTTGTAAGAATAAAGTGTAATTTTAATAATTATTTCTGGTTATTAGGAGATCCAAGTACACCAAAGAAGATGACATAGCCATGTTAACATTCCTGCTTGATGAAAAAAGATATTCTGAAGCATTAGGTATACGTGTATGGAAAGATATGGAATCAAAAAAGGTACGATTCCACAATTTTTCGATATTTTTACACTACCCAAACTTTTTAGCTTGACTATTCGAAGAATAAGGAGTGCTATCCTTGTCCCCCAAGCTAGGATTTTTAAGTATTAGGTATACACGTATGGAAAGATGTGGCATCAGAAAAGGTACAATTCACCAAGTTTTTTTACTCTTCCTAAATTTTTTATGATGAATCTCAAAGTTTCCGATTTGTTTTGTGTCCTGCATTAAATTATAGATTCCATTGAGGTCATTGGAACAATTGGTGACAAATTGGTAACATGATGATAGGGAGAAAAATAGGATAACCACTTCAGTGTATCCTTTTGTTAAAGATACATTTTTCCTCAGAAACGAATAAATATATTTCTTCTGTAGAGAGAACAACCGGATGGCAGATTTTGCTTAAACTTCCAGGGATGAACAACCTCAATGTGTAGATGGTAGTAGAGGAAGGAATTTTCGCTGCGACTAAATTTAACAGAATTATGGCCCTTTTATAGTATGTAGAAATTTTGTGAACGCAACTCCTCTTAAACTCCTCTTAAACCAGATGGCAGATTTTGCTTAAACTTCCAGGGATGAACAACCTTAACGTGTAGATGGTAGTACAGGAAGGAATTTTTGCTGCGACCAAATTTAACAGAATTATGGCCCTTTGTTGATTTTTTCACTATATACTATATAGAAATTTTGTGAACACAACTCCTCTTAAACCGGATGGCAGATTTTGCTAAAACTTCCAGGATGAACAACCTTAATGTGTAGATGGTAGTAAAGGAAGGAATTTTTGCTGCGACCAAATTCAACAGAATTATGGCCCTTTGTTGATTTTTTCACTATATACCATATATATGTTGTCAGTGGGGGCATCCGTGTCCTTTGGACACAGTTCTAGTTGGAAACTAAAAAGCTTTTGTGAAATAAAAATAAAATATTTTTCTGCAGAATAATGGGCCTTTAAAATTTCACTCTATAATGTCAATATCAGGCCTATATGTTTCTGGGTGTTAATTTTACTAGCACATGACATAAATTGTAAATGAAAAGTTTGATTACAAAATTTATATATACTTTTTGGAAACAAATTATTTGAATTATGGCTAAGTGGCTTACAATATGTTGTTTGTTGTGAGTGACATACAAATGTATCTTTTAAATGCATTAGTCATTGAAAGTGTACACATCAGGTGTAAAAAAAAATTAGTAGTATGATTGTAGATGTAAGCTTTTGGGGTGAAATCTTTCACAACTTTTGTTAATTTTTACTATAAATTTTGGAATTTTCAATTGATGAAAGACCTATTTACAGCCTTTTTTTAAGCAAAAAAAAAAGTCACTGATTTGTTTATTTTTCCTACAGGTAACTTTACACACAGCCAGCTCTATGAATACACGCTAAAAAGAAAAAAACCATTCTTTCCCAAAATTTAAAGGGAAAGGGATAGGAAAAAATGATTTTTTGGGCAAAAAGCTATTAGCGGGAAAATCCAGGGGCTGTTTTTCACCAAAGGAAAAGAGCCAAAAATTTTTGGGAAAAGAATTTTTTTAAAATTTTTTAGTTTGTTTCAGGGGGAAGGGAAAAGAAAACCCCTTTTTTCACTTTCTTCTTTACATCTGCATTTTATGTCTTATAGGCCCTCATAAATTTTTTAAGTTTTTTTAAAACCCTTTTTTGTTTTAATTGATTTTTTTAGAAAAGGAAAAATTAATGGTTTTTTCATTACTAGTACCTGTATTAAAAAATTTTCCTTTAAAACCAAAAAACAAAATTTGGGGTTCAGCCCCCCAAATTTTTAATAATTCAAAGTCCCTTTTTGGGCTATCAATTTAATTTTAGTTTTTTTTTCAAGAAAATTTTTTTTTTTCATGAAAAATTTGTTTGGATCTTTTTATGAAAACAGAGTCTTTTTTTTTTGGTTTTTTTAAAAACCAGGGTTCCCTTTTTATTTTCAAAATTTAGTAAATTTTTATTTATTTTTTTTTATTTTAATTTTAAATTAATTTTTAAAGTGGGAAAAAAGGGGGAAAAATATTTTAAAATAAATTCCAAAAGAGGGTGGGGTTTTTGGGAAATTTTTAGCCCCCCAATTTTTAATGAAAAGTGGGGGTATCTAAAAAGCATCAAAAACAAAAATTTTTTTTAAAATTTGTTTAAAAAGCAAATTTGTCAAAAAATTTAAAATTTTTTGCTTTTTAAACCCTTTAAAAAACTTATTTTGGGGGATGGGGAAAATTGTCATTTTAAAAGGGGGATTCAAAACTTTTTGGGAATTTTTTTTGGGAGAGTTTGGTCCTTTGTTTAATTTAGGGAAAATTTCCCCGGTTGAAGTTTGCATGCAACTTTAATTTTTTAAAAAACTAGTGGGGGTTTGGGGGTGTATTTAGTTTTTTTTTACTGGGGGCCCCGGGGTTTTTCCCCCTATTTTTCCCGGCCCAGTCGGCCTTTATTACGATTCTGGTAAACCCTTTGAGCCCTGGGAAAAAGGAGGAAATTATTCCCCTGGGAAAAGTCGGTTCGTGGTTTGTAAAACCCCGACGGAAAGGGCTTTTCATGGTCGATCGTGTAGATCCCTTTTTCTAAAAGGGCCAAATTCCTTGTTCATAACAAAAGGTTTGACAAAAAGAAGGAAAGGCAACCTCTTCCCCGGGAGGGCAGCTCTCTTTAGGGGCCCACCCCTTGGGTTTTTTTGGTTTTTGGTACCAGTAAAGTAACCCAATAGGTACCCCTTTTGGGGTGACAATTTCCCCCAAACAAAGTGCACGCCACGAAGGGAAGTCGGAAGTAAAAAAAAAAAACTAGTGAAGGTTTTCCCTTGAAACTTAATACATAATGAGCCGCGTCACAACAAAACCAACATAATGGGTTTGTGACCAGCATGGATCCAGACCAGCCTGCGCATTTGCGCAGTCTGATCAGGGTCCATGCTGTTCACTACCAGTTTCTCTATTTGTAATAGGGTTTGTAAGCGAACAGCATGGATCCTGATCAGACTGTGTGGATGCGCAGGCTGGTCTGGATCCATGCTGGTCGCAAACCCATTATGTTGGTTTTGTCGTGACGCGGCGCATATCTTCTGGATCATAATTATTATAGACCATAATTTTGACATGGATTTTGACTGCTTTATGGTCCTTTGTGGACTTAGTTTAAATTTTGCATGCAACGTCAGTTGTAAAAACTACTGATGGTCTTCACTTAAATCTTAACTGGAGGTCATTATGCAAATTCCATAACTTTCCAAGTTCAGTCAAAAATTATATTATGTCAGATTCTTAGATAAAGTTTTGCATGCGGCATCACTCTTAAAAACAAATAACATCATTTACTTAAAACTTGACGCATATCTTGGATGTAAAATTTAACTGGTTTGCGACATTGAAATAACGTTCTTGTTTTGATTGTTTTGCACGTGCTGTTTGGCGCTACATTGTGACGTCATGTAAACAACACTCTAAACGTCTGTACAGCGTTAACGACTGAAAGATATTGGTGTTCCCATTTATTTTCTTAGATCATTTTCTATCATTCTATATAGTTTTTTTTAAATAAAATTTAACTAAAAATTGTTTTTTATGTATCAGATTTTTCAAACAAAATGGCGCAGTCAATGTGTCGGTTTGAAAATACAGAGGGAGGAAATAAGAACGGCGAGTGCATTGTTGTGAAATATATCCCACTTCTGGCCTTCTATGTTTATAAAAGACAAATCTCCCATAGTGTTAGAATGTTGTTGTTGTTGTTGTTTTGTAAAATGTCTTTTTAAATGATTAAATTACGTGTATTTTGGTTCTATAATCTTAAATTGATTTTTGAAAGAGTTGTAACATAGCATATGATATCTGTTTTATTTAATTCCCTGCAGGAACCGCGTCCATGCTTATTACGGTGTAGTAAGAAAATGTGTTTATTTACTCGCTGAACACCACCAGTCGACTGTTTCCACCATTAAAGTGGAAGTGAATCTTTTTTGAATTTGGATAAAAATTGTTAGAAATATTTTCATTTGAAATAAATTTCTGTCATTGATAATAAAATCCAAAGCTGCCCATGTGTGCTGAAAATACTTCTTTATACCAGTTAAACTGATAACTTCATGTTCTGGCAAGTGACGGTTGTCTGCTGAAACTGTAGTGAGGTCATATTCTGTTTAAAAAAATTCTACTGAAGCCAAGACAGGCCATCAATTTACTTACCACGGTATCATAGTGCTCTCCCCTCAAGCTCCCGTTCAAATTCAAAACATGGCTGACTGATTATAGTTGCTTCTAATTTAAATCATTGAGTTATTCTATGAATGTCATGTGTATTTTAAAGTGAAGGTGCGACAGTTAAACACAGTTTATTAAAATAGTAAATAAAAGTTCTTTTTATTTGTACAATTTGCTGGAAAAAATAAGAACAATGGTACCATAGGGGACCATCCTATAATGAGTATTGTAAGTAAACAGAATAAAATGTTATGCGCCTATTTTCTGTGGGGTTACAACAGTTAATTTTCTTTTGAGGAAAAATACACACATATATATTTCAAATTCATAGAGGTGTTTTGAAATTATTCTTTTAAAGAATTTGAAAAATAATTTAGTAAACTACAGCCGGTAGATATAGAGGTTTACACTATATTAAATATTATAAATGTTTCTATTTTATATGTTGTTATTTTCTTCAAGTATTTTTACGTTTGTTCCCTTTAGCTGCCGAGGCATTATTTACAACCTCGAAGAGGAGCTGCAGGTCTGAGACTACTGTAAGAAAGGTCGATTTAACAGGAGAATTTGGAGACGAGTTTGATTTTACAACGGGAGATGAGAGTAGTCAGGATGTTGAAATTGTACCTGTTAATGCTGATGGTAGCAAAAAGAAAGTTAATGTGGACAAACAGTGTGATGTAGGAAATAAACATATGAATAAAGATGACGAAAGAGATAACGAAAATGTGGACAACAATGAATATGATTGTTCAGAAGAACATAAGGAGAAAAGAATTGAAAAAAGAAATGATGAACCTAGGAGAGGTGTTAGGAAATCACCAAGAACAAAAAAGCATAGCCAGGATTTAACTGTTGATGATGATTCGGAAGGTAGGAATATTGATGATAGCAAAAAGAGTAGTGTGCTTGAAAATGATTGTGAGGAGCTTAATAAGGAAGACATTTTTTACGCTAAAGCTCTTGATTTACACATGGACAAAGTGACAGGTGATGACCTAAACTCTGAAACTTGTAATGGAAATTTGGAAAGTTCAAATGATAAGGACAGGCTTGTTACTGAAAGGAACGATGATGTTGATGGTAATGAGGTTGATGGTGGTGCTGAATTGTCAAGTAATAAAACAGATAAGGACAATGGTAAAAAGTCAACAGCCACTAAAAGTAATCACGAAGATGAAAGTGAAGCCAAATCTGATGCAAAAGACAGTCAGGATGAATCAGAGTACTTAGACGCTGAAAGTTTTTCCCCACCAGACATATTTAAAATAGCCAATGAAGACAACATTCCGAATGAGGGTAAAACTGTAAAAGATGATGGAAATAAGAAAATGAAATCAGTTGTTAACATGAATGATGATAGATTGACAGTTTCACAAGATTCTTGTGATAGTGTATATTATGATGTTGAAGATGAATTTGAAGTGAAAACTGTGTTGAGAAGTGGTAGACAAATAAGAAAAGAGACTAATCTTGGAATACCTCAACTTGAAAAGAGTCATATGAATTCAGATGTTAATAGATTTGATTCTAACACTAAAAGTAGTGAACAGGACAGTAAAGATAAGAACAATAAACAGATTGTTGATGAAGATTTACAAACATGTTCAAGTGGAAAGTTTGTTGATACTGTTGTAAAATGTAATACAAATAATAATACTCATGTCAGGAATGAAAGTTCTCAAATTAGTGAAAATGCCGAGACACAGCCTCCCGAGGCTGAAATATGTAGTAATGAAGTGACCTCTTCTGGTCAACTAATAGAAATTGTTGACGATAGTGAAAATAGAAATACACTTGAGGAAAGTGATGCAGAATCTGATAGTTTTGATGAAATGTTAAAAGGTTTCATAGAGAATAAGAAGGCAACTGTAATAAATGTTGAAATAGCAGATAGAAGCAAGAAGGGTAATGACGATAATGATGTTATGGTCACTAAAAAAACTCCGGGAAAGTTAAATAATAAACAAAGTGGAAAGAGAAAGCGTGAAAATGACAAAGGTGAGATTTTTTAATTAAGGGGAAAGTAAGGTCAAAGATATTATGAAAATTTTTAGATGATTTAAAAAATGAAATTAGTTACAAGACTTGTCTGGCAAACAAGATCACTGTGTTTGGATTTCTTTTATGTTGCATGTTTATCATACTAGAGTCATTTGTTTTCAATATAACTCCACCACTTGCAAGCTTTAGTTGTGGGGAATAGGTTTGCTCTACTGTAGGAATCAAAGAATGTTAAGTTGTTAAGCTGTTGGGCTTTGTGTCACTGAAAATAAAAACAAATAAATGGAAAATATTAATTAAAATTGCCATCGGAACTCCAAATCAAAATATTAGTTATAACTTTTCAGCAGAGGACTTTTCAACAACAAGTTGGTTAACATCTTATTAGTGTGCTGGAGATTATTTGTCTGTTAACTTTGTTATTAATAAGTAAAATTATATTTGTATGTTCTGTTAAAGCTTTATTTAAAATCATAATTTAGAGTATACTTGTCTTTTTCAACTGGACATTCGTATTTCTTGCAAAATGAATTTCTTTTATTACATTTTTTATTAGGTGGGAAAATGGGACAAGGTTAGTGATACATGCAATCAGATCTGTCATCAATTAAGAATTTTCCAACATTATTGAATATTGAGTTATGTCATTTCAGATGAGACAGATTGTTCAAGAGAGGAAAAGAAAAGAAAACTTGTGGAAGAATGTCGAGCTAACATAAAAGTTAGAAAGTTTTTTTTTGGTTAAAAACCAACACTCCTTATATACAAATTACAATAATAAATGTTATCACATACCAGTGCCCCTTTTGCAACTCTGTTTTTGATGTGACATCAGTTGCATAGTGTTTAAACAAGCTAAATGTTAGCTTTTCACTATAGGGGTGTCAATGCTAGAATTATTCTTTTTCGCTTTAAACAGTCTTTATTTTAGGTGTGATAAATCGAATATGATATGTAAGACAGTAAGTTAATAACTGACTATTTATTTAATTTTACTCACATAATATAATTATTCAACTTGTTCAATATAATCAGTATTGAACTTACTCTCATTCAATATCCTCTAATTCTCAAATTTTGATACTTAAACCTTAACCTGTTTGAACCGATGAGCCTCTGCCACCAGCACAGAGCCAGGCCAGCCAGCACAGCCATGCAGTCTGACCATGCTCTACTGTTAGTAGTGAAATGTTTCTATTTTGATATTGAAATCCCTTTAACTTTGATGGTACTGTTTCCTGTTCAAAACACAGCAAACCCAAGACAAGAGTTAAGCAGATCATTTGTTAAACAATGTAAATATGTTTGAGCCTTTCATCAACCAACTAATTGGTTGCGCAGCAGACAACAGTGTGATCCGCGGCACTATCAGGATCATGTGTCATATAGTTTTCGTCTTGCTATATGCTCGAAGCGTACAGCAGTCTGATACTGCGATGCGCAGGCTGGTTGGATATGCGTCGAAAACTTATTCGGTTTTGAATAGCGGCCTTATTTCTTTTATGTTATGATATTTTACAATATGGACTTAACTGAAGGTGTGTTAGACAGTCTGACAGTGCAAAGTGATATCAATAGACTTATATCATATATAGAATATGGACCTCATTCTTTAGGTATGTGTCAATATTTTCAACCAAGTGGTGACTGAGTGCACAATTTGACAATATTTCCATTTATTTAAAGTGGTCACTGGGTGCATATTTGGCAATGTTTTCAACAATTGGGTCAGTAGGCCTGCAATGATTCACCAAATGTTTGATTCATTTTCAATTTCAGGCACCCCAATTGCAATTTTTTATGCTCCCCGAAAAATTTCGGGGGAGCATATAGTCGGCGCCGTCTGTCCGTCCGTCTGTCTGCACTACCGAATAGGGATAGGGGGCCATCTAACTGTAAACAGAACAAAAGAGAACAATAGAGTTCATTCCGTAACAATAGAGTAAGGGGCCATTGGCCCTCTATTAAACAAAAGAAAATAACAAAAGAAATGGCCCCTTATTCCATTTCGGCCGGACTTCCGTCCGTCCGTTGTCTTGTCCGGAGCATAACTTGAAAACCCTTGGAGATAATTTGTTTAAACTTCATACAGTGCCGGTGGTAGAGGGCATTGAGGGGGAGTGCAGTGTCAAAGAACCATAACTCTATTTTGCCTGGTTTTTTAATTATCTCCCCTTATAGAAAAATCTTGTCCGGGGCATAACTCTTAAAACTATAAGAGATATCAACATGAAACTTGTAGGTGAATAGATCTTAATGGGTAGATGTGCAGTGCACAAGAACCATAACTCTTTTTTGCCTAATTTTGGAGTTATTGCCCTTTGTTAATTTCAACACTTTGAACTTTGTCTGGAACATAACTCTAAAACTATAAGAGATATCAAGATGAAACATTGTAGGTAGATAGATCTCATTGAGTAGAAGTGCAGTGCAAAAGAACCATAACTCTGTTAAGCCTCATTTTTGAATTATCTCCCCTTTTAGAAAAATCTTGTACTGGACATAGCTGTAAATCTTTAAGAGATATCAACATGAAACTTTGTAGGTAGATATATCTCAATGGGTAGATGTGCAGTGCACAAGAATCACAACTCTTCCTTGCCTAATTCTGGAGTTATTGCCCTTTGTTTATTATCCCCCGCCGATGGAATTGGGAGGAGGATATAGTTTTGGCGTTGTCTGTCCGTCTGTCTGTCTGTCCGTCCGTCACAAAACTTGTCCGGACTACTCCTCATAAACTACTGGTGCAATTTCATCCAAACTTTACAGGAATGAACAGTACCAAGTCTAGTTGTGCATATTGTCAGCATTTTCCGGTTCAATGATTTTTGTCAGAGTTATGGCCCTTTAATAATTTTTATTTTTAAAGTTTGTTCGGACTACTTCTCTAACACTAATGCAATTTCAATGAAACTTTACAGGATTGATCTGTAGCTCAAGTCCTTGTGCATATTGCACGGGTTTTCCAGTTGGATGATTTTTGGTCGAATTATGGCCCTTTGATAAAAAGGTGTTTTTCTCTGTGTGTTGCCAGATACACAAAAGCTTGTCCGGACTACTCCTCATAAACTACTGGTGCAATTTTATCCAAACTTTACAGGAATGATCAGTACCAAGTCTAGTTGTGCACTGTCTGTCTGTCTGTCTGTCACAAAACTTTTCCCAACATGAAATTGGCCATCATGAGATGACACATGTGATCACTGATCGCTCTTGTTTGAATTATTGCCCTTTGTTAACTTTCATACTTTATTTTTGTCCTGGACTTGAAACTTCATAAACTTGGCTCCTCTTTTACTATCAAGCACTGAGAATTGTCAAGCGTTCTGTCATACTGACAGGCAATAGCTCTTGTTCCATGTTATAATTTATTTTAGTTGTGAATCAAATGAAATGTATTCTTGGAGTATTCTTAACAGTATTTTTCTCGGAAGATGTGTTTGACTAAAGAATAAGAAAAAGTCAAACACTGTCCTTGCTAGGCAGTGGTTGATGGTTATGAATTATCTTGGGACCTTCCTGTATTTTTCAGATTATTCAAGTGTGTTTGTGAAAGGATATTACAAGCACCACTGATAAATGTGCCGCCTCATGACAAAACCAACATAATGGGTTTGCAACCAGCATGGATTCGCGCAGTCTGATCAGGATCCATGCTGTTCGCTATCAGTTTCTTTACTTGTATTAGAGTTGGTAAGGGAACAGCATGGATCCTGATCAGACTGCGTGGACGCGCAGGCTGGTCTGGATCCATGCTGGTCACGAATGCACTATGTTGGTTTTGTCGTGACGTGGCTCAAATTGTTTTTGCCTTAACGTGGTTCTGGTTCTAAAAACTGTAATAAGGTTATCAGTAAGGGTAAAAGAAAGTATTGAAACTTTATTTAAATAAATGTTTATTTTCATTTTCAGAGTTACCTCCCTGGACCGACATTGATGATAAGATCCTTGAAACAGATCCCAAAGCAGTTCGTCTGATAAACAAGTTCGGAGAAAAAGATGTCACAACAAGATATAATTTTTTAAACTATATCACTTAGATCTGTAACACAGTGTTACTATGTTAAAAACTTTTTTTTCTTTTTATACCCCCGCACAACAAAGTTGTAAGGGGGGTATACTGGAATCAGCTTGTCTGGCCGTCCGTCCGGCTGTCCGTCGGTTTTTTCTTGTCCGCCCAATAACTTAAGATTCCTTTGACCCTTAGTCTTCATATTTGGCATGGAGGTTAGTCATGATTAGTAGATGACCCCTATTGATTTTGAGGTCACTAGGTCAAAGGTCAAGGTCACAGGGGCCTTGACTTCAAAAAGCTTGTCCGCCCAATAACTTAAGATTCCTTTGACCCACAGTCTTCATATTTGGCATAGAGGTTAGTCATGATTAGTAGATGACCCCTATTGACTTGGAGGTCACCAGGTCAAAGGTCAAGGTCACAGGGGCCTTGACTTCAAAAAGCTTGTCCGCTCAATAACTTAAGATTCCTTTGACCCACAGTCTTCATATTTGGCATGGAGGTTAGTCATGATTAGTAGATGACCCCTATTGATTTTGAGGTCACCAGGTCAAAGGTCAAGGTCACAGGGGCCTTGACTTCAAAAAGCTTGTCCGCCCAATAACTTAAGATTCCTTTGACCCACAGTCTTCATATTTGGCATGGAGGTTAGTCATGATTAGTAGATGACCCCTATTGATTTTGAGGTCACCAGGTCAAAGGTCAAGGTCACAGGGACTTTGACTTCAAAAAGTTTGTCTGCCCAATAACTTTAGATTCCTTTGACCCACAGTCTTCATATTTGGCATGGATGTTGATCATGACTATAAGGTGACCCCTATTGATTTTGAGGTCACTGGGTCAAAGGTCAAGGTCACAGGGACCTTGACAAAAAAAAAGCTTTTCTTCTCAATTTCTAAAGAATGTCCTGTCCGCAATGTATTGATTTTGACATTTTCACATTTGAAGCATGTAGAATACATAACTTAGCAATGCACTGGCTTAGTAACCTCAGATTTGGCAGGGAGGTTGTCCTTGAGCTCTAAATGGCCACTGTTGATTCTGACAAAGTGGTATGCGGGGGTATTCACGCCATGATAGTGGCAGTTCTAGTTTGAAGCAGTTTATGGGTTGGGGGTCAGGAGAGATGATCAGTACTGAATTGTGTTAGGAACTTATGAAGCATTCCATATTCAGAGGTACTTAAAACAACATTATGATGTATCATCCAATTGATTTGCTACTTGTGATGGGGATAATCAATTCAGCTTTGCATGTTTTATTTGAATCTTTAAAATCAGGGTTCATTGGTAATGAGAAATTTAATTTATGATCCAAAATCCAAAGAAACAGTCAATACTTCATTAAGAATCTTGTGACTATAAATGGACTATATTATTTAAGCCACATCTTTTAGACAATTGCCATGCAAGTAAGGAAATAGTAATATATTAAATATTTTGAAATAATTAGACTTTGTGTTAGTGTTTATTTACATGTATTAGTCATTTTGTGTGATCAGATATATTGCTGTTTCGGGGCATTGTTGTTATTAAACTCACCTGATTACAACATGTTTATATGTAAGTTAATGAAGCTTGCTAATGGTCCCTACTTTGTTCTTTTCTATGATAAGGGGAAGGGGACGTCCCTGCCTTGTTCATCCCTTCGAACAGATGTACACATACTTTGGTGACTATTTGAACCATACAAAACAATTAATTTCTTTTTGATGATATTCACTGAGTAAGCTCTTAAGTAGCTAAAAGAGGAGAGGGAACAAAAAAATTACCTACTTAAATACCAAAATTTGAGGATGTCTTTCCATCACACATTTGTCTTGAAGTAATGGAAGAATCTTTTTAACAAAACAGGCAGTGATAGTGACTGGATAAAGAGAGTGCACTATCCAAAATTTCACATTTTTCCTGGCTCGATGTTTAAGTTATCCTCTTTTTAAATACTTAACAATGCTTTACACTTTTGCTTTTATTGCCATTATATATTGACTTGTTAATAATACATTATATACTTCAGTAAGTTAATTGTTTGATTTAATTCCATGCAAAACCCACCATACAAAAGATAAATAAAACGAAAAGTTTATATGAACTTAGCTAGTCAGCTTTTAAAACTTGCCATCTAAAATCTTTGTCCATATTATTTGGACTATGGTGGAATAAAGTAAATTCATCAGCTAATGACATGTTCGGGGGTAGTATTAGCTTGTAGAAACAATAATTTTGTGAGTGTAGATGTAACCAAAGGAACATGCATATCAGCTGCCCTCTTGTCTTTAGATTTAGTAATAAGGTCTGCAACGTGTCTGTTGATAGTTGTCGTCAATGTTAAAAGATCTTCCTTTTCCTTTTTATTTTTCATTGCTTTCAGAAATGCTTGTATCAAAAACGATGGTGTTTCTGTAGCAGCATGTTTGTTGGCAATTCTCTGAGGAATAGTGGATTTTATGATGAGCTGATCAGCATCTGTTGGTATTTTAATGACTTTTGGTGTCTCAAATCCTACCACTTTTTGTGTCATCTTATCTTTAAGAAGACTTAAATCATCTGCTTGGATAAGAAAGATTTTTGGCTTCCCTTTTGTTACATTTAGATTTTTGACTTCATCGATGATTTTTGCTTGTGGGACAAGCCCTTCTGCCATTTTTTTGTGGTCGAAATGCAGGAACTCTTCACTGTATTCCCCTTTATATTGCGGCTTACTGTATGTCAAAAAGACAAAAACAAAACATTGGTACTCAACCGGCTTTTCTGTGTCTAGCTTTTTCAGCTCAGATTTGAACTCTTCAAATGGTGCTCTTATCTGCTGTTTAACTTCAATTTGTGCATCAAAGTTACCTTCCTTCTCGTTCTCGAAAAACTTTCTAATTTGTTTCAAATCAATGTCTCGTTTGCAACCAGTGGCTTCTTCTGTCATCAGTATCTTACTTCCTTTTTTCTCTTCTTCAGAAAGATCATGTAAACCAAGTGGACTCGTCTGAGAGTAAATCCAAACAAGAATCTTCCCATTTCTATTAATATTGTACTCCAAGTCCATTTTATGTATCTGAAACAGATAAAGAAACAATTCTTCTATTAAATATACAGAGTAGCTGTGATTTTTGTTGGTAGGAATCGGGAAGGGAAAAAAACAATATTTTATTTTGTTTTTTATATGCTTTAACCTAGCCTTACTATATGTTGCCAAACTCACAGGCAGTTGGTGTGAGGTTCTTTTAATTTCATCTTTATATACTATAAATAAAATATAAATATATAATAACTACATCTAGTCCATTATATTAGACGTTACGGAACGAACTTGTTATAGTTTATGTTGGTAAAGCCTGGTTTTGCCAAGAAGTAAAAATATCCCAAAGCAATATGCACCATATTTATAGGACTAATTTAATATTATCAAGACAAAAGTGAAAGTATTATTTATATACAATACCGAAATTGAAATAATGACAAAAAGTTATAGATAGTAGTGAACAATAATCAAACTTTTATATCAAACATGTATATACCTCGTTATCTTAGATATCAATTTGTAAACACAGTATATACACTGAAAAATAAGTAATAGAAAGAGCATCGAAACACGAGGCTATCTGATTTGTACGAGGGAGTGTAGCCCCCGAGTATTAATCAGATTGCAGAGTGTTTTGATGTGTATCATAGTCAAACATAAAAACATGTTCCCTGATGTCACAAAATGAAACCCCAGCAAAAAGGAACCAATGAACGAACATCTGAATATGATATTTCTGTCTCTTTCCCTTTCTCTGCCGTCACAATATGTAAACCCCAGCAAAAATGAACCAATCAATGGGCATGCTCTGGAGTGCAGGTAACTAATACATGCACTAGAGTTAACGCACTGTGCATGTATATGTATACGATTTAACTCGTTTTCAACAGAAAGGTCCCCAAACTATGATACAACAACAAGTTATATGTTTTTTTTCTTTATTAATAGTATATATGGATGAAATTTAAAGAACCACACATGTACCGACTGCCTGTGGCTAAAGTATACAGAATTCTCCTTTACACTTTTAACTAATTTAGACTCGTATCACTTTACGTTTATCATTATTTATTTATTTATTTATTTCATTTTTATAACGACCAAGGTTAGCTTGTTAGTATTTAAGGAATTTACGCACTCACTACTGTATTCCGACTTCTATAAATCAATAACCTAGGTCCGCACCTGCCTTTTGAATAAATGTATGTCAGGGCCTGGGGAATTTAGTAGTTTTAATAGCAAAAAGTTGAAAACAAAATGTCTTGGTTTGAGACGGCAGCCTACCCTTTTAAAATGAGTTTACGTCACGTCATTTATGTTCAAATGTAAGAGGTGAATATCATTTATAAAGCAATAATGTAATATCAGGCCTCGACATTAGCGGTGGTCCGTTGGTCCGAGACCACCTGATTTTGGCAAGGACCACCTTATTTTAAAATCCCCTGGTCCGTCGGACCACTTGAATTTTCTGGTTTGTGCAAGGCTCATTTCGGGGAATTGTGATTTGGTCAAAAACATGTTATAAACATTTTGTTTAAAACCATTTGTCCTATGAACATGTATATGGTTCATTAATAGATTAATCTGATAAGTTAAAGAAGGTCTTAAATCATCAATAACTTTCATTTTAATTCGCTAAAATTGTGTCTATGCAAGTTAAAAGAGTTAAGAATTTGTGATATTTATCTAGGAACAAATTGCATTCAAATGATGCTAGTAATGATGCATCGTCGGATTACCACAGCGGAACCTTTAACATTTATGTTATGTTACATGTTAATCACACGTGGGTATCCGACGATGGTAATTATGATATTGTATGGGATACCGTATGAACTTTCAATTTCATATACATGAATAATGGCAGCAAACTAAAGGAACTTGAAAAATACATCAAATAATTCTTTGCTAGTTATCTTTATTTTAACTTTTTAACGCTAAGAGATCCATTTCTTCCAGAGTTAAAATTACTTTTTTTTTAATTTTTAATAAAAGGTTAAAAATACTCGATGTAAAAAATAAATATCAACCAACAAGCAACAGGGCGGTAAAAATTCTGTATTCATAATAAATCTGTGAGAAAAATAAGCTAAACTATAGTTATATATAAAGTTGTTTTTATTTTTTATCCTTTAGATATTTCCTTGTTTTAAGATAATTAGTTTTTATTAAAAATGTTAAACTATAAAAGATACATGTAATTATCATGATTATAAGACGTACCACGTATCAGCAATGAATATTTGAATAACAGTAAGAAAAACAAGCAATTATCATAGTATTGCAAGCAATCCATAAGTCCCCTACCGGTAAGAGCCTAAGCAACATTCTGAAGGGCCATAGGCCATTCACTTAGGTTCCTATTTTAAGTAAATTTGTTGAAAAAGTTCTTTAAAAGTGATCACAGGAAACAGTTTTTATGTACAGACAGACGGACTGAAGGACACTCTAAAGTTATTTTATAAACATCCCTGTTATCAAAATATAACATTTTTAAAATCCTATCATGATTGAAGAAGTTGGAGTAAAAATTACCAATTTCTCAAATAAAAGTCTAAGTTCAAAAGGGGCATAATTCTGGAAATAGTCTTGCTAGAGTATTGAACACTCACAAATGTTGAGTGACAATAAGAAAAATTAATATGAAGTTTGAAGTAGGTACATTCAGAAAAAGAAGTGATTAAAAAAAACAATGTTTTTTTCATGAAAATTTTAAGTTCAAGGGAGGTAATTCTGATAAATTTTGTGCTAGAGTTGTAAACCTTGTCACATATGATGTGGTTGATGACAAGCAACTTATATTTAAAGTTTGAAGAAAATACCTTAAGAAATAAAGAACTTATAGTGAAAAAACTTAAAAACTAGAATCAGAAATCTTGAAATTCAGTCTATTTGTTGCCAAAGCAACCAGAATTTTCAACATAGGAAGATAAAAAAGAATGTGCATAATTTCCATACTGCCATCTACCCATATGTCAAGTTTCAAAAACATATTTTCAGTACTTTTTGTGTTATCACTGGATCCAGGTTATGTGTAAAATTTGCCATATTTTCAGTCTATTTGTTGCCATAGCAACCAGAATTTTCAACATAGGAAGAAAAGAAAAAGACGTGCATAATCTCCATACTGCCATCTATCCATATATCAAGTTTCACAAAAATATTTTCAGTACTTTTTGCGTTATCGCGGGATCCAGGTTATGTGTAAAATTTGCCATATTTTCAGTCTATTTGTTGCCATAGCAACCAGAATTTTCAACATAGGAAGAAAAGAAAAAGACGTGCATAATCTCCATACTGCCATCTATCCATATACCAAGTTTCATAAAAATATTTTCAGTACTTTTCAAGTTATCGCGGGATCCAGTTTTGTGGACGGACGGACTGACGGACGGACGGACGGACAGACGGACGGAGGGTAAACCTAAAGTCCCCTCCGGTAAACCGGTAGGGGACTAAAAAAGGGTGCAGTAAAGAAAATCTACAGTAAAACAAAAACAAAAAAACTCAAATGAAAAAAAACCTCCCAGCTGCCTGGCACAATCTTGAAATAACTTATCCATCTTAACTATATAATGGCAATTCATGTCAAACTCTCAGCATATAAATGACAACTTTTATTTAAGCTGGGCAAGTTTTGTGAACAGAAGCCGAGTTTGACATCAGTAATTGTTGTAATGTCAAAACATTTTAGAGGGTAATTTTTGTCAGAATCAGTTATAAAGCTTGATTAAAGAATGATTAAAATAGTATAAATGCCTGCCATTTGTAAGCTTGTGGGCTTATAAAACTTCCAGACACATGGACATTTATTATTTGATAGGGTGGAATCAAAATTCATACATAATCCAAATTTATATCTAAACGAAGCCTGCAATGCCATACATTGTGAAATATACTATTAAATACTTCAAACTGTGACAGTTCAGTCAATGTTTTCATACATTTATGACATGAATTTCTCAAAGATTTAACAAGGTGTGTGTTTCCTAGTTTTCAGACACATGAATAAGTATGTGGATTTAAATGTTTTGTGGCATTTAAAATATATGTAGTTCATAGCTAAATCATTGTTTTACATTAGGTACTGGTTGGATTCTTTAAGCTTCCTCCAATGAAGCACTAGTTATCATAATACAGTTATGGGGGCAGGTGATTTTTAGTCATTCATTTTTACATCTCATGCATAGGGGCCACCTAATCAAACAAATTTTAATAAGAAAACATTTACACAAGACCAAGATTCTTTGACACAAAAGTTACAGTCAATACATTTTAATATCTGGAAAAAAAATTTGTTTTCTTGTATTTGTACTGCTTTTGGGGCTCTGTAAGTAAGTAAGTAAGTAACGACTTTATTTAATGAGGCTAGCACATTCGGTTTCCCGATCTTCCATGTGGGCCTCAGCATATACATACAATGTAACATAACAACATATAAATACAATGTGACATAAATTATATACAACATTACATAGTCAAAAACAATTTGAAACAGGCATGCAATTGTTTTGATGCGACATCATCATATGATGAACAGCAATACTGGTTCATACAGTGAGGAAAATGTGCCATGTAAAATATGTGACAGCCGTAGGCCTTCAGTAATAATATTATTAATGTTAAAGTAAATGCAAAGCAAGAAATTTTTTGTTTTTACTGTAAACTTTCTTTAATATGGGTATGAGATATACAGAATAAAATATTTGTTATGTAGATTAAACTTCTTCATCTTGAATAAATTCAGTATGGAAACTACAAAAATTCAATATCCTATAATCACAAGCAATTATCATAGTATTGCAAGCAATCCATAAGTCCCCTACCGGTAAGAGCCCAAGCAACATTTTGAAGGGCCATTCACTTAGGTTCCTATTTTAAGTAAATTTGTTGAAAAAGTTCTTTAAAAGTGATCACAGGAAACAGTTTTTATGTACAGACAGACGGACTGAAAGACACTCTAAAGTTATTTATTAAACATCCCTGTTATCAAAATATAACATTTTTAAAATCCTATCATGATTGAAGAAGTTGGAGTAAAAATTACCAATTTCTCAAAAAAAAGTCTAAGTTCAAAAGGGGCATAATTCTGGAAATAGTCTTGCTAGAGTATTGAACACTCACAAAATTTAATGTTGAGTGATAATATGAAACATTTATATGAAGTTTGAAGTAGATACATTCAGAAAAAGAAGTTATTAAAAAAAAAAGAGTTTTTTTCATGAAAATTTTAAGTTCAAGGGAGGTAATTCTGATAAACTTTGTGCTAGAGTTGTAAACCTTGTCACATATGATGTGGTTGATGACAAGCAACTTATATTTAAAGTTTGAAGAAAATACCTTAAGAAATAAAGAACTTATAGTGAAAAAACTTAAAAACTAGAATCAGAAATCTTGAAATTCAGTCTATTTGTTGCCATAGCAACCAGAATTTTCAACATAGGAAGATAAGAAAAGGATGTGCATAATTTCCATACTGCCATCTACCCATATGTCAAGTTTCATAAACATATTTTCAGTACTTTTTGTGTTATCACTGGATCCAGGTTATGTGTAAAATTTGCCATATTTTCAGTCTATTTGTTGCCATAGCAACCAGAATATTCAACATAGGAAGAAAAGAAAAAGACGTGCATAATCTCCATAATGCCATCTATCCATATAACAAATTTCATAAAAATATTTTCAGTACTTTTTGCGTTATCGCGGGATCCAGGTTATGTGTAAAATTTGCCATATTTTCAGTCTATTTGTTGCCATAGCAACCAGAATTTTTAACATAGGAAGAAAAGAAAAAGACGTGCATAATCTCCATACTGCCATCTATCCATATATCAAGTTTCATTAAAATATTTTCAGTACTTTTTGCGTTATCGCGGGATCCAGTTTTGTGGACGGACGGACTGACGGACGGACAGACGGACTGACGGACGGACGGACGGACAGACGGACAGACGGACGGAGGGTAAACCTAAAGTCCCCTCCGGTAAACCGGTAGGGGACTAAAAACCAGACACAAATGGTTTCACTATTCCCTAACTTGAGTTGAGGAAGAAATCACTTCAATATAAAAGTTAACATAAATAAGAGCCCTGTTGTGTATTTTTGAATGAGCTATGAAAAACAACAAATAACTTCACGACAGAATACCTACTTACTTGCTCTCAGATAAAAATATATATCTAAGATGTTTGTTTTCTTTAAAGGTTAATAATTCATCTTTGTCATCAATTTTAAGCATACTTTTTTCTAAACTTACAGTAAACTGATATAATAATAATAATTGACCACTTGACTTCTGGAAGGACCACCTTAATTTCAAATCTAGTGGTCCGGCTTACCACCTGATAGAAAAGTTAGTGTCGAGGCCTGAATATACATGTACATCTAATCCAATTTATCGGACGTTACGGGCTTGTGACAGTTTATGTTGGTCAAGCCCGGCTATGCCAAGAAGTAAACACATCTCAAAAGAAACGTCATATTTATGTATTTCAAGACAAAAGCGAAAGTAGGACTTTTATACAATACCGAAATCGAAACAATGACAAAAATAAAGCCGGCTGTGTAGACAGTAGTAGACAGTAATCAAACTTTGTAATTTATGTCAAATATATATTTACCTAGGTATCTTAGACACTGCTAAATAACAACAAGTTATATGTTTTTTTCCGATTAACTTCCTTGCTTCTCAATTGCAACTTTTCGCACAATCGCAACTTTTCGACCCTTTCCGTCAGTCATTCGGAACTTGCTCGGCTATTATCTATAATAACCTCCTTATCCGAAGACTGACGGAAAGGGCCGAGTAGTTGCGATTGTTGACGAATCTAAACTATAAATATGTAAACGAATGCTGAAAAATCTTGACAAGTCTCATGAGTCTATTTCCAACATTACTGTATCAAGTAAAAGTCCACCTAAAAGTTAGTGAATTCATAGATACAAATGAAAGAAAACATATTTATTATTGTGGTTGTAGAAACCGAAAGCACAAAATGCCAACCTGTCTCGGCCAACAGTGGGCATATTTAAATTAAAAATGGTTGTCAGACATATTTTCAATCATAATTTTAACGATACAGACTTAATTTAAAAAAATGTAAAAAGAAAGAATTTATCACCTTCATAAATTATCCTAGGTAAAATATCTTTTGTTTGTCCCAGCATTATCCAAAACTTTAACAGAAATATATTTCTAAATATCGCACTTTAGCAATCCGGTCAACTCGTAATTCAAACAATATTAAAAAAAGTATAGAATTAAATAAAAACAAGATGATGTCACATCAAATATATTCATATAAAAGAGCCATATGATTGAAATATACATATATTTTTTTTGAAATATTTTGATATTGCCAATTTATTTTTATAGATCTTTCTTGAACATATTCTGAAACTAATTGTATTTTTTTTTATCTTTCTTGAACGTATTCTGAAACTAATTGTTTTTTTACAGGAAAAAGGCCTGTCTGCCGAGTATGTCAGTCACCGAGGGGCACACCGCTTCATCAGAAAATTTCTGTGTCTGCCATTCCTTCCTGCAGAACACATTGGTCTTGTGTTCGAGTCTATGGCAGACTTAGCTCCAGACTGTTTTGATGGACTGCTAGCTTACATTAGACGGACCTGGATCGACAATGATATATATTTGAGAAATGCATTCATGGACACATACATCGCCGCATTAAAGAGATAAATATATCTATTATAGTTGACCTGTGCCTATCTTATTGGTATTGTAATATACTTCTATTATTTTATAGGATGGCATAGAAGATTGAATGGGAGGGCTGGGGGAACGCCTCCATTCTACCTTTTGATAAAACTGCTGTACGATGAGGCCCAGGTAGCGGTGAGGAACTCGGAATTGATAAGTGAAGGAAGACTACGCCGCTACCAGCGGAAAAAGTACACCTTTCTTCAGGGACAGACGCACCAGCTGTGGGATAAGTACAGGAATGGGGAGTTATCATCAACGGGACTTTTGAGAGAATTCGGCAACTTATACAAGCCCCAAGAGTAGAGTCGTAAGATGTCAAAAAAAAAAAAAGACAATGAAATATGTGCATGGAAAAAAAAACAATGAAAGTGTGAAAGTGACTATATATACATGTATGACATAATATTGACAAAAAAGACATACGATATGATATTTTATTTTTGCATATAAAACATGTTTTATACATTAAATGTTATTGCTATTGATCGTCTTCGTGTTGTTTTTTTCTGTATGTAATTTAATCAGAATTATGCATATATATCCTTATTATAAGATGGAACTCCAAATATTCGCATACAAAAAGCGTCAAAATATGTCCAATTCAGTAATTTTATAATATATTATTTTAACAGTCTATAATGATTTATGAACTATATGAAAAACAAGTAGTAATAAAATATAAGGGACGAGTTGGGGACGAGTTGACTAGAGGACGAGTTGTCCAGGGGACGAGTTGACCAAAAAGGTGACGAGTTGACCAGAGGACGAGTTGACTCTGAATCGCACTTTATGTACATGAACTGTTAAAAATTTAATATTAGAAATTACTGATAAATGCTACACAATTTATTTGTAAATATAGAGTAAACATGTTTGACTTCACACAAAGTAGATAATCATATTATGCTACTATACTGTAGGTGTTACGCTAAAATATGAATATATAGTGTCATTAAAGAAGAGACCAACTTTACATGAATGACCTATTATACGTACAGAACGATGAATCCCAAACATAGTTTAGATATAGGAGGTAATAAATCGCTTTAAACGGAATCAATTTTAAAACGAAATGGTTATAGCATTATATATTTATTACATGTTAGGAACTGACTAAAACAATTGTTTACCGATAATAATATAAAACGATAAATAGTACAGTCCCTGGGGACCTTTTGTGTGCAAAAAAGGTCCATGGATAAATGTCATACCAATTTAAAGCTAAATATTTGAAGTTTACAAAAAATTTGGGTAGACATGTCAAATCATGGTACGTTTTGAGAAATCCAAGATGGCCGCCAAGATGGCCGCCAAATTATTTAAAAATGGCTAATACTCAATTTATATGATAAAATTAGTTCTTTTTTGTATTTATTTTAGTACAGGTGATGTTAAAACTTCACATCCTATTAGAACAATATGAAAAGGGGTCCGTTTCCTTTTTCTAATATATATACTCTTGTTTTCATAGAGAAACTTTGCTAAAAAGCATGAAAAAGTATCAAAAATCGACATAGGGCTGGCATTTTTTCCTATCAGTCGAGGCATAGTGGTGAAAACTAATATTTTTACCATATTATACAAAGAACTGATCAACAACTTACTAAATGTACCCTTATTTTTATGCCCCCATTTCGAAGAAAAGGGGGTATATTGCTTTGCACTTGTCGGTCCGTCGGTCCGTAGACCAAATGGTTTCCGAGTGATAACTAAAGAACCCTTAGGCCTAGGAACTTCAAACTTGGTATGGTGATTGGTCATGACCAGTAGATAACCCCTATTGATTTTGGGGTCAAGGGGTCAAAGGTCAAGGTCACATTGACCTTGTAAGGAAAAACGGTTTCCGATCAATAACTAAAGAACCTTAAGGCCTAGGAACTTCAAACTTGGTATGGTGATTGGTCATGATCAGTAGATGACCCCTATTGATTTTGGGGTCAAGGGGTCAAAGGTCAAGGTCACATTGACCTTGTAAGGAAAAACGGTTTCCGATCAATAACTAAAGAACCTTAAGGCTTAGGAACTTCAAACTTGGTATGGTGATTGGTCAAGATCAGTAGATGACCCCTATTGATTTTGGGGTCAAGGGGTCCAAAGGTCAAGGTCACATTGACCTTGTAAGGAAAAACGGTTTCCGATCAATAACTAAAGAACCTTAAGGCCTAGGAACTTCAAACTTGGTATGGTGATTGGTCATGATCAGTAGATGACCCCTATTGATTTTGGGGGTCAAGGGGTCAAAGGTCAAGGTCACATTGACCTTGTACGGAAAAACGGTTTCCGATCAATAACTAAAGAAACTTTAAGGCCTAGGAACTTCAAAAACTTGGTATGGTGATTGGTCATGATCAGTAGATGACCCCTATTGATTTTGGGGTCAAGGGGTCAAAGGTCAAGGTCACATTGACCTTGTACGGAAAAACGGTTTTTCCGATCAATAACTAAAGAACTTTAAGGCCTAGGAAACTTCAAACTTGGTATGGTGATTGGTCATGATCAGGCAGAATGACCCCTGTTGATATTGGGGTCAAGGGGTCAAAGGTCAAGGTCACATTGACCTTGTAAGCAAAAACGGTTTTTCCGAATCAATAACTTAAGAACTTTTAGGCCTAGGAACTTCAAACTTGGTATGGTGATTGGTTATGACCAGCAGATGACCCCTATTGATTTTGGGGTTAAGGGGTCAAAGGTCAAGGTCACATTGACCTCTTGGGTAAAAACGGTTTCCGATCAAAAACCAAAAAGAACCCTTAGGCCTAGGGACTTCAAACTTGGTAATGGTGATTGGTCATGACCAGCAGATGACCCCTATTGATAATTGGGGTTAAGGGGTCAAAAGGGCAAAGGTCAGCATTGACCTTGTAGGTAAAAATGCTTTTCCAATCAATAACTTAAGAAACCCTTAGGCCTAGGAACTTCAAACTTGGTATGGTGATTGGTCATGACCAGCAGATGAACCCCTATTGATATTTGGGGTTAAGGGCGTCAATAGGGCAAAGGTCACATTGACCGCTTGTAGGTAAAAACGGTTTCTGATCAATTAACTAAAAAACGCTTAGGCCTAAGGAACTTCAAACTTTGTATGATGATTGGTTGCATGAAACAGCCAGATGACCCCTATTGAGTTTTTTGGGTCAACGGGGTCAAAGGTCAAGGTCACATTGACCTTGTAAGTAAAAACGGTTTTCTGATCAATAACCTTAAGAATGCTATAGGCCTAGGAATTTCAAAACTTGGCATGGTGATATTTGTCATGACCAGCAGATTACCCCTATTGATTTTGGGAATCAAGGGGTCAAAGGTCAAGTTCACATTGACAATTGTAAGTAAAAATGGTTTTCTGATCAATAACTAAAGAACGCTTCGGCCTAGGAACTTCAAAACTTGGCATGGTGATTGGTCATGAGCAGCAGATGACCCCTATTGTTTTTGGGGTCAAAGGTCAAGGGGTCACATTGACCTTGTATGTTAAAACGGTTTCCGATCAAATAACTAAAGAACCCTTAGGCCTAGGAACTTCAAACTTGGTATGGTGATTGGTCATGGACCAGCAGATGACTCTATTGATTTTGGGGTCAAGTGGTCAAAGGTCAAGGTCACATTGACCTTGTAGGTAAAAACGGTTTGCTTCTTCTCTGATCAATTAAACTCTAAAGAACGCTAGGCCCTAGAACTTCAATCAAACTTTGGTATGAATGGGATTTTCGTGACCAGCAGAATGACCTATTAGTTATGGGTCAATGGGTGAAAGGTTAAGGTTGACCAGTAGATACTTGATAACCTCTTATTAAAATTGTTTGATCACTTGGGTTAGAAGTCATGCTAATAACCACTCTGATCAATTTACTATTGGCTGTGTACCGGGGGCATCGTTTTTAACAAAAAGTCTTAGTTATTTTTATTGGTTAAGAATGTGGATTCTGACATTCCTAAAAGTGGGGTGGGGTACCACCGAAAATTGAAATTTCCAATTTCTAGTGAACTTATATATTATGATTATTAAGAAACTAAGAATAACCAACAAGGATTACATTTTAAAATTTTCTTAAGTC